GTTCTAGTTGGGAGCTAGGCATATTCTTTTTTTATTTTTCTAGCTGCCCATTTTCAAGACGGAGTCCCCCGGTCCTTTCTCCAAAAAATGGTCGCGATCTAGAGGTTCGGAGTAAGTCACTTTTCTTTTTTCTAAACTTATTTATGAAAAAAAAGAGTGCATGTATCCTTTCTAAATCCTGGATTCTTAGTTCTACTCATAGATCCTCCTATATAAAGAAGAAGGATAAGACCCCATTATGTGTAGCCTGTAACGTTCCTGGGAAAAGAGTTTGCATGTCATGTCACAAAGAAGCAGCTGTTCCTTCAACCAGATACAGATGTCCTTTCATATAGCAGACAGGCTGTTTCGGAAGGCCTACAACCGGCAGAGAAAGCAAGGAAGAGGCACAGATCCTTCAGTCCTGATTGGAATCAAGAAGTCGGCTCAGAGGCAGAAATGCCTCCGATCTTTGAAGATGATGAGTTTTCTTCTCAAGATGAAGATTCATATTTATCCTCTACCTTCATGGATAACAAGAAGATAGAAGCCTTGATCAAAGCTGTCCCGGACACCCTAGACCTCAGCGATGAAACGGAAGAAGATCCTACCTTGAATAAGCATTCCGCTGATTTTAAAAAGCGAAACCCCACCTTTCCCCTCCATGAAGCTATCAATAATTTAATCAAGGAAGAGTGGAGAAAGACGGAAAAACGTGTCTCTATTCAAGGTCGTCCTGCAAGACTCTACCCGTTCAGCTCCAGCGACAGTGCGCCATCGGACATGGCTCCCAAAGTGGATGCTGCTATTGTGCGTCTGGCTAAAAAGACCACCCTTCCAGTGGATAACGCAGAGTCTTTACAAGCGCCCATGGATAGAAGAATGGACTTTAATTTGCCCAATGCATAAATCGCATCTGGCTCTGGGATCTGCCTAGCTGTGGCTATGACTTTAGTGTTGAGAGCCTTGAAACAGTGGTTAGATGACCTCAAGGAGGATATTTCAAGTGGGGTCAGTAGAACCAGGCTTTTGGATTCCCTAAACAAATTCAGGCTGGCTATTTTTCTTCAAATGCTTCTATAGATCTGGTTAGATCCATCTCAAGAAGCATGGCCTTGTTTGTAGCATTTAGACAAGCTCTCTGGCTGCGAAATTGGATGGTGGCTACTTCATCAAAAAATAGCTTGTGTGTTCTTCCATTTCAGGAGATATGCTCTTTGGGAAACATCTTAATGAATGCATAAAAAGGGCAGTGGAAGGACGTAAAGCATTTCTCCCCCAAGATCATAGGCCTAAAAGATTTTTTCCTTAAAAAAGACGTTCCTTTCAGGATAAAGATTTTAGACACTACAAACCTGGCAGAGAGTTATCCAGAACTCAGCCATGGAAGTGAAGCCTCTCCTCTTCTAGGGGAAATCGTGGCAGAGGTGGATCAACCAGACAAGCAAAGCAGTTCTGATGGGACACCAGTCCAGTCTTTGGGGGTAGGAGCCAGACTCTTAAAATTCTCCAGAGTCTGGACCCAAAATATTTCAGGCAAATGGGTTCTAAAAATCATTCAAGCCGGTTATTTCCTGGAATTTGCAACTGTTCCTCATCCACGATTCCTTCCTACCCGGATCTCACAAGACCCGGAAAAAATGCAAGACCTCTTCTCTCTTTCTCCTCGTCCCTTCTTTCAGAAGGTGTAATCTGCCAGGTTCCCCAAGAAGAAAAAGGTTTGGGGTATTATTAAAGGCTTTTTCTGACCCCAAAGGCTTCGGGAGAATGGATACCGATCTTGGATATTCACGATCTCAACGAGCAATTATCTGTGAAAAAAATTCAAAATGGAATCCATCAGCTCCATCATAAAGGTCATATCTCCAGGAGGCTGGATGATATCTTTAGACCTTCAAGATGCCCATTTCCATGTCCTGATTGCAATCCCTCACCAAACATTCCTGAGGTTTGCAATAGAGCATCATCATTTTCAATTCCGGGCACTCCCCTTCAGTCTCAGCTCGGCCCAAAGAACCTTTACAAAAATTTTGGTATCCTTCATTGCTTTTATTCGTCTAGAAGGTATCTCCATTTTCCATTATCTGGTCGGTATCCTGGTTCTTTCGAACAATGAGGATCTTCTTGTTTCTCACTGAGACAGAGTACTTCATCTACTTCAAAAGTTTCGGATGGATCATCAACCGCAAAAAAAGTCAGCTTTTGCCATCTCAGAATATGATATATCTAGGAGCAAGGTTCGATACAATAAAAAACGATGGTGTACCTGTCTATGGGAAGGGGTCAAAGGACCCAACAGAAAATTCTCCATCTTATAGCAGTAAAGTCAGTCACAGCCAGAGAACTCATGAGCCTTTTGGGAAGTCTATCCTCAAGGCCTCACAAGATGGGCTCAGTGGCAAATGAGTAGCCCCCAGTCGGAATTCCTTTCACAATTCTTAAACAAAGATCTGAACCAGAAGATCCGAATTTCCTCCAAGGTAAAGAAAGAACTAGCTTAGTGGCTAGATCAAAATCTCTTCCTCGGTGTCCCTCTGGGTTTACATTCCTTGGATAACCATTACAACAGATGCCTGTCAGACTAGTTGGGGTGCACACCTGGATTCTTTTCACATCCAGGGCCTTTGGAGCCACAGTCAGTCTCATCTCCCCTCAAATGTCCTGGAAATTAAAGTAGTGCTCCGATTTCCCTCTCTGAATCTCCAATGGGTGAAGGTCAGGGTAGATAATACTTAGGTGGTGGCTTGTCTCAATCATCAGGGGGGAACAAGAAGCAAACAGTTGATGAGGATTCTTTCTCCTCTAATGGCCTGGGCAGAAAGGAACCTGGAATGCTTGAAGGCGATTTATGGTCCCTCTTTTCAAAGGTTTTCCCAGAGCATTGTGCAACACTGGGGACTCCCTCAAGTAGACCTCATGTTGACTCACCTGAACAACATGCCCTGTCCAGGGATATGCGTTTCCCCCAACCCCTCTGATTTTTCCCTCTATTAAAGAGGATTCAACTAGAACCAGTGATCATCATTGCGATCATTACCCATTGGCCAAGACGTCCATGGTTTCCACAACGGAAGAAGCTAAGCCTGGGAACCTCCTTTTGTATCTATCGGGTCATCCTCAGCTGCTTCATCAAGGTCCGGCATTCCATCCCACACCCCAATTGTTGAGATTGATGGCATAGAAACTAAGAGGCAACGACTCTTCGGCAAGTGGTTTTCTGCCTCTGTCATGTATACCCTTCTTAAAGCAAGAAAAAAAGTCTACTTCATCAGCTTATCATCGGATATAGGGTATATTCAGTGAGTGGTGTACTTGTCACGAAGTTCCTTTTCAAACCCCAAATATGAACAACATTCTGCAGTTCCTACAGGATGGATTTGATAAAGGTCTAAGTGTGTGTTCTTTAAGAGTTCAGATCTCCACTCTCTCCATTCTTTTGGAAAAGAAACTGGCCTTCCATCCTGATATTGGCAGATTTTTTCAAGCAATTGTGAAAATCCAACCTCTGGTTAAGACATCAGCACCTCCCTGGGATCTGCCTCTGGTTCTTCAGGCTTTATTAATTCCTCCCTTTGAACCTCTGGAAGGAGTTTCTATGGCTACATTGACTTTAAAGACGGTTATTTTGGTGGCCCTTACTTCAGGGCAAAGAATTTCAGAACTTCAAGCTCTCATGTGAATCTCTTTTCCTGATTTTTCAAGAAGATAGGGTAATTCTAAGGACTATTCCAGCCTTTCGACTTAAAGTTGTTTCTTCCTTCCACGTCAATCAGGACATTGTTCTTCCAGCCTATTTTTCCAATCCTTCATCAGAAATAAAGGAAAGATGGCATTGCCTGGATTTAGTGCGTTGTTTATCTACTTACGTGAACGTACTTCTGATATCAGAAAATCGTCCAAACTTTTTGTTATTCCATCAGGACACAAGCTGGGACATGGTCCTTACTTTGTTATGGGTTGGTCTATCCCCTATCGTGGGTTTTCATTTTGCTGTGTTATGGTAAGATTGAAGTTATTTTTGTGTTTTAAGTATAGTTTTCGTAGGTGGCTGTGTTCTTAAACATACGGGTATTGTCTTGGAGTATGTTTAAGTTATGTGTGATTGGAGGTATGTGTTTTCCAGTTATCTGGTGCGGGTTATGGCCTCTGTGGTGTCTGTTTTCCTGGTTTGGGGAACATTCTCCTTGGTTGGCTTGTTTCTATCTCTTGGGTTCCCTCTAGCTAGTGAGCGTTTCAGGAGGGGAAAGGAAGATAGCGGGTAGGTAGCGGCGCTTAGTGCATTTCTTGATTAAATACACCTGTATGAATATAGGTATGGTGCTTATACTGACCCTGTAAGGTGCTAAGCAAAAAGCCAACACAATTTTATTGTATTGTTATTGCAGGGAGTTTCTCTGTTTTTGAGAGAATTTCTAAATCAATGGTTGAACACAATATAGCACGGCAGCTTATAGGAGAGTCATTGTGTTGGTCAGTCACAGCTAACTCGTAGATCTCGGCATTTTCAATACCCACACTACCAGTACATTCATATAATCAGTTCATGTTTAAATGTTGGATTTGATTTAATGTTATACAGCTGTGTGTGTGTGTGTGTGTGTGTGTGTATGTGTAGAATTTCTAATTTTCATTGATTTGTAAGACATATAAATTCTCCAAATTGTTTTAAAATCCAGTAGAAAGAGTGAGCCGTGCTTTATTACTACCCTCTGTGCATGTAACAAGCACAGAGCCCACATAGATCAAAAACTCAGACATAAACAGAACATGGACACGTCATGGGCGCGTAGTGATGACACACATTGCCCGGTCCGCCATTTTAGATTCTGATACCCTGCACTTTCGTCGATCAGTAGTACATTGAAGGGTCTCCATTTCAAATCCATTATCTCATTTCTATAAAGAAAGGTAAAGTGATGTTCAGGTATTTCTAATCGATTACCTTTTTTTAATGCAAATGAGATATAGTGACCTCAAAGCAAGAGTCTCTAGTTATGAAATAAACAGCAAGAACAAAAGTATTAACAATCACCTCTCCTGGGAAGGAGTTTATTATTTATATAGTGCCAACAAATTATGGAATGAACATTCTGAAATATATATCTTGAGGTAGAAAATCAGCTTTTTATAGCAAGATAATGAGAAGTTAACAAGGAAAGTTTTGTGATGCTTTATATCCTTTGAAAATAGCTTGCAGTGCCCTCTGTCCTTTTGGTCTCCCTCGGGGTGCTTTCTGTGCTTTGAGAAATATTATTTCCTTTGAGAATTCCATAAGGAGTAAGGATGCACAGAAATTTCGGGCGAAAAAAGGGTCAAATTTGCCGAAAATTACACCCTTGGTCTGGTAGCTGGGGGCTGCGCACTAATTCAGTTTCAGTAACATCGGAGCTGCATGTAGGTGCCGCCGGGTGGCCGGTCTGGTGGCACAAACGGAGGGGCCGGCCACGTCCGATAGTTACCTTGTGGCAGCCATGTAGTGTATGGTGGTGCCGCCGGGCCGGGTGGCCGCCTAGCTGGTCCGACGGCAGACTCTCTAATACTGACAACAGTGCAGCTGTCAGCATGGGAGGACTGAAGGAGGGAGCAGACCTGACTATCGTGCTCCCTCATGGTTACCACAATTCCCAGCACAGCCACATAATAGAGTAGTGATTACTCTATGATGTGTCCATGCTGGGAATTGTGGGAACTGAGAGGGAGCATGATAGAGAGGCAGAGACAACACAACATTGCTGTCCTTGTCATTCTCCCAGAGCTCCAGACAAGGTCAGCCTCAAGGGTTGGTGAAGGGGAGAATAGAGGGCTAAGGGGGATAAAGAATCAGAGGAGGAAGAGTGAGACACAGGGGGAGGGAGTAAAAGAGAGAGAAGGAGAGACATACATGGAAAGTGGGGAGAAAGAGGCAGAGGGGAAAGAGTGAGACGCAGGGGGAGGGGGAGAAAGACAGATGGGGAATGTGGGAGAAAGAGTGTGAGGAAGTGCACTTTGCCACTTGGTCCTGGAGAGGCCTGCTTGCCAGCCTCCTGCCCTGCGACTAAGGCCCGGGGGGGGTGTGTCCCTGTAAGAACATTATTGGGGCTTATGGACTTTCATTGGACTGGTGCTGGCCCTTTAAGCACATTTTTGGGACATGGGGAAAATTGGGACAATGCCCCTTTAAAGACATGTCCCCAGACTTGTTTGGGACACTGCCCCTTTAAGCCTGTGTCCCCAGACTTGGTTAAAGTACTTTATTCATGACTTCTTTACACTTGGTTCAGTAAATGGGGCTTACTGAACCAAGTACCACACAGGCAGACTACCCAGAAGTGGAAGTGTGCAGGCAATTTACCGCCCAGGCCAGGAGCCTGCTGTAGGTAAATTGCCGACTGCTGGGTGGCCGCAGTTCGTGCAAACGAACACGTGGTGTTGGCCATCTTTGTTCATTCGAACGAGGTCAGCGGTATGTGTAGCCAAATCCATGGAACTGAAAACGGCTACATATTTAGACGAACACCACTGACACGTACCTTCTTCTCCACTTCAACACTGCGGCTGGAGACTAAGTCCCGTTCGAAGTGTAAAATATACAATATACCGACCGCACAGCCCAAATCCATGGAACTGTTTTGGGCATGAAAATATGCTTGCGGTCGGTCACAATGTATTTCCGTCTAACTTTTTAAGTACTGGATGGAATTTTATGATTTTTGAGTATGTTTATATTTAAAGGATGCTGATTAATAATATGTGAAGATTGGATGTGTGATTTTAAAGTTACAGTGTATGTTTAAAAACTGTATATTTTCTGCCTGTGATAATTAAGTTATTCTATTGTGTTGAGAGAATTGTATCAAAGGCAGAGGGGAGGATTTCTGCTGGGATGAATGGGGGTGGTTTACTTTATTGTATGTGTTGTAATGTTTTTATTGGTTGATCTGAAAAACCCTGTGGGTGGTCCTATGTAGGGAAAACCTGCATAAAAGAAAGCCCTTTGGTGCTAATTAAAACCGTTCTTCTTGACCCTCAACACGTAGTCTTGTCTCGTGATTGGAGGGCACAGCTATACTCACACTGGGGATTGCTATGCTCTGCATACTCCCCTGAGCTTTAAATTACTTAGCTCTGTTAAGAGCTTGTTACTGATACGCTCTCCTGGAGGAGAGGTCTTCCCCACACGGTCCTGGAGGACTTGAAGCTGATCCAGGGTGGACAGAAGACGGCGAGACTCCAGTTGAGCTACGGCGGTTGTGGTCCTCGGCGAAGGCTAGGAAAGCATCCACCACCGGAAGGTACTCTGTCGGAGTACGGGGAGTTCTGTTACAGAGGGGGAAGAGACAAAGGGGGGAGAAGGAGAAAGAGACAGAGAAACACAGTGGGAGAAAGACAGAGGGAGTAGAGAGACACACGGGGAAAAAGAGATGCAGGGGGAGGATGAGAAAGAGACAGAGGGGGAAGAGAGACACGGGCAGGAGAGGGGGGAAAGGTACAGAGGAGCAGTGAGGGGTAGAAGGAGACACAGAGGGCCTGGGGAAGAGAGACACACAGAGGGACTGCGGGGAGACAAAGACACAGAAGGTTTGTTGGGGGGGTGGGGGGGAGACAAAGACACAGAAGGGAAGGAGACAATGACACACAGAAGGTTTGTGGGGGGCAGAGCTGGGTGTGAAAGAGTCACACAGAGGGACTGGGGGAGACAGAGACACAGAAGGGGGCTGGGGTGAAAGACATACACAGGGCGGGAGAAGGGTAAAAAGAGACACAGGCTGGGATGAAGTAAAAGATACACAAGGGGAGTTGAAAGAGACACAAAGGAGAAAAAAAATGGAGACAAGACACACTAAACGAGGTTAAAAAAAAAAAAAAAGTTTGAAAGAAGGAATAAGAAAACACAAAAAATGCCAATAAATTCAAAAGGGAGTTAAGAGAAACAAGAGATTATGTATTATTTTTGTGTGTGTTTGGGGAGGAGGGGGCAGGGTGCATTTCAGCCTGTGTCTCCTGCTCTCCCTGTAACTCAGTTCTTCAGCACAAGAGTTTATGCCGAAGAGCTAAATGACAGGTGAGAGAAAGACCTCTTATTAAATAGATTTTCCTTCCAATATATACATTTTCCTAGCAATCTTGCTAACACAATGTACAGATAGACGTAATTGATTTGATTCGGACTGTAATACACACACACACATTTTCTGTCCAGTTTTTGGTGTGTTACCTTCAATTCAAGTGTGGTTATTTTATTGGCCTGTAGTTTTGCATATTAGATTAATTAAATTCACTAAAAAAAGTCTAATATTAATACAATTATAGAAAAAAAAACAAAAAAACTAGGGCAACCTAATTTTTCAGTTACGGCCCAGAATTTTTATTTCGGTGCATCCCCAGCAGCATTATGTACTTTAAAATTCTTTGCAGTCCTCTTTGGGATGATCTTTGGGAATTCCATGGTGTGCAATCTGGCCTTTGGGTCTCTTGGGTGGTGAACTTTATGGAATTTCATGTGGTACAATCTGGCCTTTGGGAATATCATGCGGTGCAATTTGATTTTCGTGCATCCCCCTGATGTATAACGAGATATGCACTCTTTGCAAAAGATTTCTCACATTCAGAACAAGAGAATGGTTGCTTTCCTGAATGTGTTCTCTGATGTTTAAGACATTGTGTCCTCCAATAAAAACGTTTCCAACATGTAGAACAGGAGAATGGTTTTTCTCCTGTGTGAAGTGTTCCATGTCCAAGATTTGAATTATTTGCACAACTTTTCCCACATTCAGAACAAGAGGTTTCAGACGTTCGTACACTCTTGTATAAATCACGGTCAGGTTTTCCTTCTGCGGCACTGTATATATGATCATAAAGTGAGTGAGCAGATGGATAATCTGCCTGTGTATGTTCCATGGAAGAATAAAAGTCATCGTCTGAGAGATCTCCATCATTGGAGACATATTCCCGTTTAATGGAAAAAGATAGAATGTCTGTCTGTGTACACTCTGTAGATGTAGGAGAATTCGTGTCTTCTTGCAAGGTTGGTTCCTGTTTAATAGAAGTAGTTTTAGAATCTCTCTCTATAGGTTTTGGGTATCTGATGTCAAGGTCTAAAACGTGATCTTCTGCGGAGGTTGATTCTATTTCACATTTAACATATTTGCATGGTATGTCCAATGGATCATCTTTAGATTGATATTTTCTTTTGTTTATATCAGGTTTCTCTCGATTTACAGAAATGGGATTATTATTTCCACTAGGTATACATCTGTCTGTGGATTTACCTGTAGAAAATAGAAATACTGTTTAGGACTTTAATTTATCATGACTGTCAGTATATTTATAAATTGGCAGACATTTTGTGCTAAGACAGAAATAGTGTATATTGCCAGTCACACTCAAAACAGAGCTGACTACTTCAGGCTAAAAAAAGACACAGAATTTCTGTCTCTGAAACTCTAGTCATTCAAGTCTGAGCTAAGGAATGCGTTATGTAAACAAGGCAATGATGTCTCGCAAGAAGGGGGATGGAATACTATTTCTTAATGTTAGTGGAATAGAAATAAGTTTAAACACAGACACAAGAACCATATAACCGTTACAGATAACACTTTGTAAGATTTAGAAAGTAAAATTAATTACTAAGTCCCATTGTAAGGAAAAGGGTGAAATTAAGGTTAAGAGGTGTCAATACTAAATTACGATTGGAATTGCCAACACTGTCTAGAGTAAATCCTTTGAAATTGACAGGAATTAGATTTATGCAGTCATAAAATAGATAAAGTAATGACATCAAAATCATCATCATTTTTAGTTAACCCATTCGAGGACAAGAAATTTTGATGATGTAATGGCGCCATCTACTGACCAAAAACTAGATGATAGATAGGGTAGACACACCTACCGTTCCCTATTGGCCTGATCAACTACTGACGTGCAGAGAGTTTGGCCCTTTAAAAAGTAAGAACAAAGGAAAAAAGTCAGACACACTCTGGGATTGACATTCAATTCGGACATTCAGGATTCACACATTCAACTCTTTGGGACACTCATACTCTTTGAATCACACTCAAAATCTTTTTGAAACACCTGGACACCTAATCTTTCCAAACCAACACCACTACTCTATTACATGCACCCCTCTATACATCAATCATACTTGCAATCAATTCCTGGGACTATCTACTCCTCTGACAAAAACATCTACGACATAACTGGTAATTATGCTGGTTTTATTTAATTAATTTAATTAAAATGTATTAATAGTAGGAATATATGCCTGGATAAATCGGTCAGATTTCAATAATTAGAAATCTTGGTTAACTAAAGAATATATGGTTATAAAAATTCCATTCCTGCAGGTGGAATAAAGATAACGATATGTTAATGATAAATTTGTCAGATGTTAGCATGCCACATTTATCCAGATGTATTGAATTGCTCTGAAATAAGATAGAGAATCTTATTTAGGGAAGTTAAAATTCGGCTAATGTAAAATCTGGTAGATTATTCTTATTGGATGGTTCCAGGAATGGTTAATGATCTGGTATGAACATTGCTTTAATTGAAAAATTGCAACAAAATAGGATATTAAATGCCTAGGAAGATTCTAGCCAGCAGGGAAAGGGTCAATTCAGTGTGATCTGTTAGCCAAGGTTTTATTGCCTCTTGCTGTGCTGTGAAGATTTGCTTTCTGTGTCTGTGAAGATTGTCAATCTATCATAAATCTCTTAACAGCTGATTGCTCTTAGCCGCTGTATTGTGTTTAACCATTGCCATTTTGTATACCTATGTTATACTAAATATTCACTGATTATCACGCATATTACATATTATTATTATCACAATTAATTATATTTTTATAAAGAAATTGTGACTTTACTGTGTGGAGTTAAATCCTCTGATGACTTTCTCTAGGATCTAAGAGAATTAAAACTAGTGGGTAATTCTCAATATCAGTTTTGATTTAATAAAAATTAATACATTTTTATGAAAATATTATTTTAATATTTTCACCCCATAAATATCCCCACATGACAGTTTGTGATTACACTGGATTTGGCGAAATCTGCCACCTCAAAACATTGCAGGAGTACCTCAAACCATGTAATTTTATAATTATGTTAAATGTATGGGGTTAAAACCAATTTGTCATGACTTTGATTTTGCATTTTCTGCACAAATTCAAAAAACGGGGGAATAGGTCTTCCACATTAGTAAGAATGTAAATCAAAATAGATAACATACACCATGCCTAAAATGTATCCCTCACATCACCAATTTAGAGTTGCATCTTCCTCTGTGCAAACTATCTAAACCCATTAAACTGATTTTCAGAGTTTATGGAGAACCATTAGTATTCATCTCGAACTTTCACAATATTCCTATATAAAATTGGGCATATTTCCTCTATATACCGTTTATAGCTCTATGCAGTACACCTCTTAACTTCCTTGAGATCTTGCCTCCATGGCTGGAGACCTTCCATGCATCCACCCGTATAGACCAAATGCTGACAATATAAAACACATTAAATAAATTTATATAAAGACAAACTATATAAAATAAATATGCAATACTTAAAGGACCACTCTAGGCACCCAGACCACTTCAGCTTAATGAAGTGGTCTGGGTGCCAGGTCCAGCTAGGGTTAACCCATTTTTTAATAAACATAGCAGTTTCAGAGAAACTGCTGTGTTTATTAATGGGTTAAGCCTTCCCCCAAAGCCTCTAGTGGCTGTCTCATTGACAGCCACTAGAGGCGCTTGCATGCTTCTCACTGTGATTTTCACAGTGAGAGCACGCCAGCGTCCATAGGAAAGCATTGTAAATGCTTTCCTATGCGACCGGCTGAATGCGTGCGCAGCTCTTGCCGCGGGTGCGCATTCAGCTGACGGGGCGGAACGGAGGAGGAGAGAAGGAGGAGAGCTCCCCGCCCAGCGCTGGAAAAAGGTAAGTTTAAACCCCTTTCCCCTTTCCAGAGCCGGGCGGGAGGGGGTCCCTGAGGGTGGGTGCACCCTCAGGGCACTGTAGTACCAGGAAAACGAGTATGTTTTCCTGGCACTATAGTGGTCCTTTTACATAAAGTGTGGCATCTTCAATGTCTCCAAAAACCACATAAAAAAAAAAAAAAAACACATGATACAAACATCAAAATAAATGGTTTATGGTGTCTAATATACTACAGCATGAGAGATGTCCTAGAAACTTGGATATAAATACAAACTTTCTTTCTTTTCGAAACAAGCACCTTGTTTGAAACCGTCATCCAAAAAAAAAAAAAAAAATTTAAAAAAAAAATTAAAAAAAAAATGGAACTGCATCTTTTGCTTTAGAGAGTTACTCCAACCATGAACAGTGCTTTAATAAAAGCACTTTTTGCTGTAGTAACCCTTGCTGACAGTTCCTCTACGATCCATCCCACACCGAGGTCAAGTTCTCCCTGTAGGCCAATCTGCCTTTTATAGAAATCAGAACCTCTCTTTCCAGCAATATTATGCAGTGGGACTTCATATGGTTCCCCAGTAAGACCTATGGGTTTATTAAAAGAAGAGGGTATTCCACCAGCCTTAAGGGAACCCCTAGTTGCCACCTAGACACCCCAGTGGGGTCATTAGCTCCACAATTTACTACTCCCATGATACCTAAAGTTGAGAGACTATACCATGAGAAGAGACAGCCGAGCTCAGGTATCCAATACTGGCAAGAATATAAGCCTTGGACACCCAGTGAACAACTGGCAATAATACAGCAGCTGCCAGATGTAGAAAAGGTCCCCATAGCACTAGTCCAGTCTCTACCCACCATTCAAGCTACTTACCAGTGTGGATTTAAAACAGATTGTCGCCTTAAAAGCTGGCCCCATTTGGGCTAAAATAATTGCTAAATATACCAATGCCCATGAAGATAACCTCAGAAGAAGCAATTTGCAAACATGTGAATGGTTTAGAACCAAGTTTGCATCTGGAGCATGCTATGTCACTGCAATGAGAGAATGGGCTAAATTAAAGACAGGAACTAGCCCATAAATTAGGAGATATAGTACAAGGGAAAGATGATTCTGTTGAAACATTCTTCACCAGACTACAGATGGAAGTCTGGTGGAAGTGAAACCATTTACACCAGACTGCTTATTAACTGCTTCATGGATGGTCTCCACATACCCATAAGGACTGGTCTCCAAAAGGCTAGACTTGAGTGGTGAAGTTTAACCTATGGTGATCTGGTAAAGGTGGCTATGTTACGGGCAAATGCAAATATTACAAGTTTTAGAATGAAATGTTGTATTTCTTAAACTGTGTACTTTGTCTTTAAGAGATATTGCAAACTGACAAGGTGTTAGAAATGGAACATATTGTTTTTCATAACTGTTTCTTTAAGCAATAACCTCAGTGCATAATATGTTTGCGCCATTTTGTCCCAGACGAATTACAATAACAATAATGCATAAACAAGCTTCAAGGCTATGCTACGACTCTTGCAGTACACAATATACTGTGGTAACCCCAAGTTAATGGAACTTCCCCAAATCCGGGAATCTCCCACGACTGTACACTTACGATTTAGTATAAACAACAGATAAGCTATTCAGACTTTAAGATGCCATCTTGAACTAAGTCAGGAAAATTTCCGTGACGTATACACCCTTTAGTTATGGCCTTGTATGTTTGCCAAGTTAAGGGAGGTCCTAAAATGAATAAAGTAAAAGAAGTGGTACTTTTTCACATATGAACTATGGTAACTCTAAAATGACGACACCTAAGGTATAAATAGGTGTACTTTTAAATGTTAAGAAACAGAGGAGAGACTTGGAGACAGACGCTGCTCCATCTTAAAATGACAGAGAGGCTGACATGATGACATGTTCAGAAGGGTATGTTAACCTATTAATGATATTTGCAAGCATGTAATTTAATCTTATAAACTCTGCTATAATGGATTTTATATTTTTATATAATAAATATCCAAAAGACAATCTTGCTTCCAAGACAATCCTTATTTTATATTGTATTCTCAATTATTTATATATGTTAAATAGAGGATCTCTTACACTATATAAAATTATGGCTAAGATATCTGTATGGTTAGCCCTACTAAGTTCTATGCTTTAAGACATTATAGTGGTAAATAAGGGAACCACCAGCGGTTACAATTGGCGACCACGAAGGGACTTTGTACTTGGAAGCTTTAAATATAAAATAAATACCTAGGTAACCTCTTATACGTAAGAGAAGACACAATACTTTGTCATGGCACAAGTCTTGAAATATCAAGAATCTATTGAGCTATTTGTAGCCCAGACTCAGAGAGAGATCATTAGAGATGATTTTAATGTGAACAAGGCACTGTGAGTTCAGGTGCCAGGTACAACGTAATTAGCATACAATGCTGAAATTGTGGATCTTAATTAATATCATAAGAAAATAAATATACATATTTGGTAAACTCCCTGATATGCCTAATACACCAGCAGGATTGCAGACAGGGGGATAAGTTCTCTTTGTAGCTGCTTAGTATGCATGCGCAGGAAAAAGATTAATGCAAAATGTTGTCAAAAGAAAAGTGATAAGACAGAGCGATGAAATTTGAAGTCTAGTTCCAAGAATGCAAAGAAAATTGCATTATGGCTTAATGAAAACATTCATGCAACAGACAGACAGTATTTTTAATTATTGCATTACTGCGTTCTGGATTCTAATATCCACTATATATGAAAAGTTTTATAAAACAATGATAATTTCCATATTGTCAGTTACGCTAGCTGTTGATTAAAAATCAGGAATTATAACAGCATAACTATTTTTGGAGTCTGGAATTTCCAGCCAAGGTTGCGGAGATAGAGACATGTAAACATTCCAAGGAATTGAGAAGTCGTTGTTTTATATTCCAAATTATGAACAACATTATTACATACAGCCATAAAGAAAAAGACATGGCTTTTAAATACATTGAGTGCAGTACACTGCAGCATATATGTTATATAATATATGATAAATAGCTTATATTTTTTCCTAAACAGAGTTGAAATTATACTACCCTTCTAGAAAAAGGGCAACAGGTGGTTATACACCCTTTGCTTCTCTAAATGCTCTGCAAAAATAAATATTTATAAAATAATTAAAAATAATATATATGTAAGATAAATCAGGGCAAAATACAGTAACTATATACCTAATAACTTTTAAACTGAAATTATTAAAGGCTTATTTAAATAAAATGTTAAATACATTTACAGCTTTAAATGTGACCAAAAGATACTAAATGATGTGTTAAGCAGCCAGCCCAATTCACTAGAATAGCATAAGTATTCTACTATTTATAGTGCACAATTCCTGCACATAATGACTTTGCTTACTCAGGTACAGTCTTTAGTCTATTGCAATGGCAGGATTAAAGTCCACCAATTTTAAAAGGGAAAGCTTACTTAAATCATTGGTACTATCCCACCGTACCTGTAGTGCTAGCAGTAAGGAAATTAGAACAATTATATTGTACTACTGACTGTAATCAGATCAGACACGTAATCTCAGTGAATTTGATAACCTAGGTTTTTATAAAATACGATTAAATAAATAAATGTATAGAGACTAAGCATTAAGAGCATTTACATGCATTCAGCAGCCTGCTCTCTCAAAGCCAGAAACAGATTTTAAAAAATAGAAAATGTAGGTTTTAAAAAGTCCACAGTCAACCACACATGATGGGTGTAATAATTGCTTCTTTAAAAGCTATATGCTGCTGCAATTATGTATATAAATACAGATAAGGGCAAAGAGTAAAAATACAGTTTTAAATCTCATATATGGGGATTCAGTTCCACCACATATTCTACAATTCTGAAAGAGGCTAATTTTAATATGTTGTAAAAGCACATATAATGCAAAATTAATTTGATATTGCAAGGCTGCAATATTCTAAACAGACATTAAAATTTAAGAAAAAAAGAAAAAGAATAGTGTCAATTAAAGTGATAATACTCTGATATATTAAATCACATTGCATATCACATATCTGCTATATGAAAAGTATAATTAAGGTGACTTTACTGCCCAATGCCCCTCACATCGATTTTATAGAATCTATACTTTTCAGTGGTCACTTCTAGAGAAGCCTCTGAAACTGGGGGGCTCAGAGGGGTGCTCATCCCAAAAGAAATCAGATTCCAGACTTAAAATAAATAAATGATAGAAAAGGGAACACCCAGGACATGCATTTTTGTTTATAATCTTAATTTGCAGATATTTTATGCCTTAAAGACATAATTAAATATTTAGACATAATTTAATTAAATATGCAGGTATCTGTAAAAATCAAGCAATGTTAAAAATAAATAAATAAATAAATAAATAATAATAATAATAAATATATTTTACACCACAATATAAACAGCTTTGTTAAGCAGATTCAAGTACAAGTACTTATGTCAAGAAATATACAGGATACGTTTACAACAGGCAGTTTAGCATAAATGCAAAGTTGTTGTTTTTTGGGGATTTATTATTGCCCAAGAAATCTCCGAACATACTCAGAATTTTTGAGAGCAGCAAGTAAGACAGCAGATTGCAATGGACACCATTACAATATTGCTTTGCCGATTGAGGTCAGAGATTTAAAGAATAAATGTTCTATAGCTCGCTAGACCACTGGCTTTTAATGAACAGTTTGCATGACACTTATAAAATAGTTTGTTATACTGCACATTATAGCTGTGACAACATGAAATACAGTGTAAAAATGCTATTTCACTGTTTAATAGACTTACCCAGTATTTAAGGACGACATGTTTCTTGCAAAGTCATCGGGACTTTGAGGGAGGTTCTAACTACGTTTAATTAATTAATTAATTTACTAAAGAAAAAGAAAAAAGAAGAGGTTTTGTTTTTCCCCTGCAAGTGAGTTTTCAGCGCAAGGTCATCTTGTGTTCACAGACTATTCGGATTTTTTTTTTTAAAAAAAGCTGTTCTTTATCTCACATTATGAACGGCCTTGTATTTACTATCCACACTAAAAGTTGGCTTTTAATGTTATTGTTTTAACTTTAATATTTCATAGTTAATACAGAGGATAAAGTAATTTAAACAAAATATATTGAAAGTATATTAATTGATAGGATTTCATTTATCTATTTTGGTCCACTGTTCACTGATCTCGAATCTCAGTCTGGTGTTCAAACAGTTTTTCTTACGATACGTCGTGAGTTTATATCCACAACTGCATTTTGCTTTGTGGTAACAAACTGAAAGCCTGGCATTGTAATACGTGTATGGACATGCTTATAACAAAGCATGGTCCCTCTCCTCATGTCGTTAACAGGCACTTTGATGCAGTGTGTCTACCAACGCTTTTCTGTGGTCACTGGATCACATTGCATACCCTATCTCTCAGTCATGATGCAGAGTTTATGCTTGCAAGGATATCCAGACCTTATCCACCTGGTATCCGCATAAATACTCCTATCGTTTACAGGGGTTAATTACATAATAACCATTGAAGGTAATATGTTGTTTGTTCTTCCTATAGAGGAAAGATGGACTTGCCCTAAAAGCTTTTTCATGGCTAGGACAAGCTCTTATAGAGAGAGATAATGTACTTCTGACTCCTGAAAAGGAATACTGATGGTCACAATATGGGAAATACTGTAATTCATGTGTTTAGTAATCATAAGCAT